GCAAAAAATTGTATAAATACTAAAAGTCACGTGATCGATATCTTCGTGAAGATATGGAAAATATCGTGATACTATATAGTGAAGATATGGAAAATATGTCACTGTGTATTTCTCAGTATCTCACTCTCTACTATATAATAAATTCCAATATTCCATTGCATATATATATTTGTTACCGTAAACACTGTAAGTGAGGTTGCATAATGCTTTAACCAACGAGTTTAATTGGTCGATGATCACATTATATAAACTTTTGAAGGAAAACTATAAATTATTTTTATTCGTTTTTTTTTGGGCCGGTGGAAATCTAGGGCCGGGGGCAAATGCCCCTTTTGCTCCTTAGATAAACCGGCACTGGCACTGAGCAGTGTTGTGAACAGGAGCCAAGAGAACGTTCTCAAACGACTGTACGACCCAGTGAGATGTACGTATGTATATAGGTTATTTTGAGGCAACGAGGGGATATGTGATTTATTCACCGAGGCGCGTAGCGCCGAGGTGAATAAACACATTATTTTTCACACTGCGAGGTCGCATTAATGGGTAAGAATAGAAATAATTCTTAATGCCATATTGCCTTCGTTATGTTGTTTTTTTTTCTCATTTTTTGTGCTGCAAAGACATTGCAGGTGAATATTAGAGGGGATTATTAATTGCAGGTGAATATTAGAGGGGATTATTAAACGGAAATTGATTAGAGGGGAATATTGAATATATTCCCCGATAAGAACAAAGGAAACCGAGCAGGGTGAAAAATAAATGTATTTATTATATGGACATGAGTGTTTTTCACTAGTGAAATATGAAAAAAATATGTAACCCGTGTGTTTCCTCGCGCGACCGTCGCGAGTTTTCCCGCTTTGTTTTGTTTTTATCGACAATGGCAGCCCGAGTTATTTTCTGAAGTTTCTGACGATGACTCAATTTTGCGAAGAAAACGAGAATGAAAACACCCGATTTTGCGTTGTTGAATTCTGTAATGACAACTTGCATGTTAGACTAAATTTTAATCTAAGTAAGGAGAAGGGAATCAAACACCACAGCTAAAACGAACATAGTGAAATTAGTAAAATTACAAAACTTGGTTGCGAAATGTTGTAAAGCTTGGAAAATATAGCCTTGCAAAGTTTGCGAACTTTTTTGCCTAGATAAAAAAATTAGTCAAACATGCAATTTGTCCATTATAGGCCTTACAAGTTTCATGCGGTTGCCCAAATAAATAGCGAATAATACATGGGTGCGCGGAAATACCAGATTTCTTTCGAGTAAACACGAGAAATAATCTGGTATTTCGGCAAACACCCATGTATTTTTCTGTTTATTATATAAACAAAATTCAGTGAAAAACAACAAAACGTACGTGGCAATGCGTTTTACAACAAATGATATTTTCACACGAAAAAATATCGTATTTTTTACGTGTGTTTAAATACGATTTTTCTCAGTGGTCTATATAACACTTATGTTTATATAATAAAGTTTGTTCTTATCGAGTTTCTTTCCGTATAATAAAACGAAAATACGAATATTAAAATATGAATATTATTTTCTCGTGTTAAAAACAATATTTTACCACTCGAAAATAATATTTATATCTTCACGCCACCGTCGGTAATATCCTCTATATATGAATATATATGAAGAAAAAACTTGCGTCCAAATTAAAAGTGAAAATGGCGGAAATTGACGCCCAGTGCCAGTCCCTTTCTATTGTTGTCTGCGCGGTTAACACAAGCCTGCAAGGATTTTATCAAATTTACTTTTTTGACTTCGATTTACAGAATGATATGGTTTTATGAAATGATAACTTGATTTGCGATATGAACCGTTAGAAAAAACTCGAATTAGGGACCGGTCATTAATGAGGGGGGAGCTAGGGGCTGTGGGTGAGAAAAGGGGGCGGCTTCAACTATTTTTGCCTGAATTGAGGCCGGCCTCGAACTGAAAAATAAGTGACAAGGGGCGACCCCAATTTTTTAATACTTTCCTACTCGTTTTAAATCTCTCGCCTTTATGGTATCCCACAACATATTTCACCTTTTTTAGTTCCTAATTCCTATAATCGTAATTTCCATAGTTTATTGCGTATATGCAGTTCACCATAGGAGTCGGAGTAAATAACAACCATTTTGAATGCTGGTCCTCTAATTATTTAGGCTACACAATGTCTTACACCTTACTTGTCGCATTACCTATTTTACACCGAAAAATGTAACAAATTAAATGTTGGGGGGGGGTCCTAAATTTTCCAGATGAAGGCGGGGGCGTCTTGAAAATAAATGTCTTGCGATTGGGGCGGCTCTAAAAAATGTTCAATATTTGGTATTTATCACC